GGGCAGGTTTTGCGGCAAAGAGCCATAAGCACTGAATTTGGGTTGATCAACGATCAGCCTCTTGTAGACAAATGCTCCACCTCATTAAATCATGTTCTCCTTTCTCCATGGTAAGAATTAGGTGTACAGCCTGGAAATAGAGATGGTGCCTTATTTTGACCTAATCTGCAGACACGGTTGGAATCTGAAGGACTGCAGCAACATTTATGTTAGAAGAAGAGTTCTCAGACCAGGAAAGAAAAAGGGAGGAGGAAGTATTTTCTCTTGCCTGACTTCAGTGTGTCAGCTCGAGATACAGCCAGCTGTGCTACATCTGGTCCTGATGTGTTACCATGGCCAGTTCCCACCATATTCAGAAGTCAGGAAGAAGGGCTCCTCAACCCGTAGTAATGAACATCAGGTCTTGGCCCAATGCTGAGAGGCCACCATCGACCATGCTCCCTTAGGTGCCCTTACTAGTCACTTGCTGTCACACTATCCAGTTTTATCTTCAGAGCACTATCACTAGGTAATCTTTCCTGCTTAGTTATCTGGGTTGTTTTGCTGTTATTGGTTATCTATTTTCCTTCACACCCAGTGGAATGTAATAAGTTCCATGAGAAGAGAAACTTGTGTGTCTTGCTCAGTGCCACACATTCAGCAATTAGCACAAGGGAACCTTGTAGGCACTCAATAAATGTAGAGACAATGAATAGATGGGGTAGAGGGTGACTCTAACTGCACTTCCCCTAGACTGATGCCTGTCCTAACTTCCCTCCAATGGTCTCCAATATTAATGGAGCTGTGATTATGGGAGATTAGGGGCATTTGAAAGCCTAGTCACATGTATACCTCTCTCAGTCTTCCCACCTGAGATGTTCATAGGGTTTAACCTTTTGGGAAAGATCCACAGCACTCTTGAACTTCATCTTCCCTTCCATGCTGCAAAGCCTGTCATCGTGTCAGACACACACACATGCTTGCACACTTATGTACAAGTGTGTGTGTCTCTGAGTAGACACAATGCGTATTCTGCCCTGCTTTGGAGAATGGTCCTCTCTCACCACAGTAAACACTGAACTTGCTGGTCCTAAGATCTACAACTAGAAAAGAGAAAGGGGAGGAGAGGTCACATGCCCTAATTGAGTTTATTGTTTCCCAATTGGAATTTTCATCTGGAATATTATTTGCTTTTTCTAGCTATAGATAAAGTTGCTCTTTGTTACTTTGGTTTCTAGTCTGGATGTTTGTTTTACCCTGTATAGAACCTTGGAACACTATGAAAGCAAAATGTGGGGGTGGGGATATTTAACAGCATAATACCGTTAAAATAAATCTAAACATTCTCTTCACCTCTCTACTGAAACTTGACCAGGATTTTCAAACTGAATGTATCTGTGTCCCATAATAGCTGGTAAGTTTGTGACTTACATGTGGAGGTATGCTGTCCTCTTCAGAGTCTCATTTCAAACTTGGCTCTTAAAAACCTTCTGCATCACAACTTCCCTTACCATGAAGTTATCATTCATCAGAATGAGAAGAACAACTAGAAAACTCATGACCATCGAAATGTCCAGCGTGGATCAAATAAGATGAGAGACCCAAAGCAGGAAGGGTTGTACAAGTTCTTTGCTGTCAGAACCCAACACCCCCTTCCTCTTTTGTGTCCTTACTTTGTCCATTCAGAATAAGGAGCTTATGTTTACTGTGTAGCGAGAAGAGCAGACTCATTTCACAAAACACCATGGCTATCACTTCTACTACCCTAACTCATGTCCAGGATCAGTGACTTTATCTTCCTAAATAAAATGGATCTTACAGAAAGCTATGAAAGCATTTCAGATCTTTCATTCCTTAGGAAACTTTGGAGGTTAGCAGTGCTGGGGATGGAGGCCAGGGCTTCACGCATGGTACGCAAGTGTCTTACCACTGAGCTACACCCATCGCCCTGGAAACTTACTCTTTAAGAGTGTATCTGTGACATTTTAGCACCTTCCCTAACTGCAATATTTGCAACTAATGATGGAAGAAGTGCTGTCCCTAAATAAAGGTTAACCAGATATCCTAAAGTTAATCATTTAAACACCTACCACATTCCATCTTCTTCACATCTGTGAGGCCACAATTCATCTGAAGTGCGATTTTGTGCAATTTAATATTGCTTAAAAATTGGTTCAAGAGAGAATTGAAGAGTTTTGTTCTGGTGTTCATTTAAGATTTCATTTGTATTATTTTCATTATTACTTTTCACATTTCAGCCATACAAAATCATTCATCTTCATGGTACACCATAAAATGGGCTTAAAAGAAATAACAACTTAGTACACATGCTTTTAATAAAAGCAGAATCAGGGTTGTTGGAGTGGCTCAAGTGGTAGAATTCTGCCTACCAAGTCTGAGGCCCTGAGTTAAAAACCTCAGCACCCCCCCAAAAGTAAATAAAAGCAGAATCAGAAACTTTAATAAAGTGACATTTCAATAAATGAAGATATAGACAAGTAAAATCTCCAGTCAAATTTGTAATCACCATCCAAAATGCTGAAACTGTCATTATGAGAAAATGAGATTTGAGTTAAATAAACATTGAAGTATTTCCTGGGAAAAATAGCAAAGTTACCCAACAGATTAGCTATTGTAACTCATAGTGGGTGATAGACTTCTATGTCAAAAGAAATGGCCTGGACTGGATAGCTCTGCATTCTTCAAGTAAGAAAAATCCTGTGAGGCTATGGAAATGCAAAGTGGGTAGCAACTTTTAAAATTTAGCACTTAATTTCATTGGGAGTATTAAATGACCTCATATCAACTCCAACATAAAAAGTGAGAAAGCAAAAGAAAACACACCACTCTGTTATTCATGCTGTTTTTCCTGGTGCTTATTTCTCCCTTTGTTTTCTCATTCCAAATCTGATATAATAGAAATTAGAGTTACTTTTCTCTCAATAATTTGCTGCCTGGCACTGCCAGTGATTGGCAGCAACAGCCACAAACCATTAAGGATCTGGTAAAAAAAAAAAAATGGAAAAGCTGCAAGAGATTGATCAGAAACCCATTTCAGGCAATATAGAGGAGTGCTTCACCCTGCTGCTCACACATCTTTGGCTGCTCTTTTGTCCATATCTTCAGATGGGGGTCCTCATGGGGCCAGGCTAGCAGCCAGCCTTGAAAGACACTGCACAGTTACTTTTATCATCATAGTGGCAATGTCCTCCACACTTGCCACTTTCCAATACTCATCCTTCTCCCCTGCCACCAGGCCACCTATTTTATGGATCTGATTGGGGGAAAATAGAGAACTGATGGATTCAAGTCTTAAGAACTGTAAAGCCTCGCTGCTTGCACATGTATGTGCTTTGCTGAACCATAAAGTTCTATGTGACTCTAGAATGCAGTAAGTGATAAAGGGAAAAGGATAAATCATCTTTCTTCTAAGCTTTCGTAACTAACAAATTGGAGCTTCTGCATGTCCTTACATCCAGAGAAAGCGGAAGCAGTCTCTGAAGAGCCAGCTCATTCCTTCAAAACAAAACAAAACAAACAGGGCTGAGAGAGGAGGCAGGTGGTGGTGAGAGAAGGGCACAGGTCACCTTTGAACTAGAGTCTTCCCAACTATAGAGCATCTGCGCTAGCAGCAAGTCACCAGCGGGCTTGGGAAACTGTGTGATAGCTGATGCCAGGCACGTGTGCTCATGTGTTTAAATTGGCACAGCCTGACCATGGATCCAATAGCCAAATCCATGTGAGTGGGTCAGGACTGAAGATCAAGGGTTCTCAGCTTTGCTCTGCTAGGAAACCAAGAAAGCTATACCAGATCTTTGACTGTTCCTGGTAATAACCTGTCTGGCAACTCTTAAAGTATTTACAAGTAATGGTGAAAATAAAATACCTGGAAAATTAAGATGCTACAGAAACACTAAATAATCATATGAGCCAAACCTGCCAGAGCAGTCAGTTTCACTTCTGATATCAATGAAACATGCTCAAAGGTGTGTCATCTCTTTCACGGTGCCAGGGAGATGTGGACTTAGATGAAATATTTCTAGTCTTAGAAGGAAATGATTTGATTGTCCTACTGGAATTTATGAAACACTCTCTCTGGCATTCTTTCTCTGGCTAGAAAGATAACTCATTCCCATTTCACTGGGGAAGAAACTGAGGCCCAAAAAGGTTCAATTACTTGTTCAAGGTCATATGGTCATACCTCCCACAGTAGGAAAGGCAGTTAATTGATGTATTAATTATTACTATTATTCATTTCCGCTCGCATTTGTTGAGCACTGGAATGTTTCTATGAATCATCACGTTTAATCTCCTACTTAAGAGGCAAATACTACTCAAGCACCAGTGGCTCACACCTGTAATCCTAGCTACTTGGGCAGCTGAGACCAGGACAAATGCAGTTGGAGGCCAGTCCAGGCAAATAGTTTGGGAGACTCCCATCTCCAAAATAATCACAGCAAAATGGACTGGAGGTGTGGCTCAAGTGGATTTGCAAGTGAGAAGCCCTGAGTTCAAACCCCACTCTTACCAGAAAAAAAAAAAGAAAGAAAGAAAAGAGGCAGATACATCTCTTAAGGAAAACTTCCCCGATCATCTCAGATTAGAAGGAAAGGTCCTTCCACTAAGAGTGCATAGCATGTGTTCCTTGAAATACTCATTTGCTGCACTGAGTTTTCACATGCAAGCTCTCTCACAATGTCCTCAAGGACAGGGAACATGCTCACCTGAGCATTTCCATGGCACTCCATGGCATCACAGATACTCACTTAACATGTGTGCCTGAGTAATCAGAGGTATGATTTTTTTTAAATAACATGGAGCCAAGTTTCAATGTAATAAAAACGAGAAGTTAGAGTTCTCCAATTATTTGAGAGACCACTATGTATGTTAACTGATTACATTTCTGCCACATCTTAGACATGTATATATTCAAAGTGCAGAATTTCCAGTGGGAATCAGCCCACCTACCGGAGAGCGAGTACCTTGCATGCAACTGATATGCTTACTCAAAGCTCCCTTACCTGATAACATATTGTCTGTTTTTATTGAGGGAAACTTCAGAGTCATTTCATGCTTGTGCCTGTGAATCATCAGATGGTCCTCCGTTGGGAAGCGCTGTTGTACAAATAGAAAAGACAAAGGGAGAGGAAACATTCAGTTTTATAACACATATTTGCCATTGTTAAGAAAAAGACTCATAAAAAACGGGCAAAAGCACAAGTAAGCAAAGCTGAAGCAGATTATGCAAGCCAGTGTGCCTGGATGTTCCTTTCAGTTACACCCAAATATATATGCATCAGAGTTTCCATTACAGTTTATCAAAGGGGTTAACTATGGTGCTGCAGAAGAATTCCACTGAGTACTAATAAGTAAGAGATCTTTCTCTTCAATCATATTCTGACTCCCAACAATCCCTGGGGACTTTTTTTTTTAAAGGCCTGTACTTCTCACAGTGGGTTCCCTGGAAGTAAGGAACTGTGCCGATGAATCAGCAGACTATATATTTCTTTAGGAACTAGAGGTTTTCATCTGAACTTTGTGTTTAGCTAAAGGATAAAACAGAGTGTCTGATCTCAAAGAGGATATGAATAAACAGCTAAAAGAGCTCAAAAAGAATAAAGGATAAAACAGAAAGAGGTAAATAAGCACTACTGAAGATATTAATATACACACCAAGGATCTGCTATGTCCTAACACCTGGCTAATTTAAGGCAACTTCTTTAAAAAAATAGTATTCAAAACAGTATTATTTTACAAAGTATTTTCCCAAAAAATAGCTAATAATGGCAGCGTGACAAAATTAATTTTTCCTGTTTCTTCTTTTCACATGAGAATTTCACATCCAAAATAAGAAAGTAGATTTAGATCTGAGAAGCACTGGAATTTTGCAAAACCATGTGGAGTTTTCCTCTTGTAGTTACTGTTTTGCATAACAGTATAAAATTAAGTTTATGGCATGATAAGTATGCTAGACATTATCTATAGATTAACCAAAAGTAGGAGAAATGCATGACCTAGAAAAGAATTTTGATTCATGTCAGACTTTGGAAAAGAACTATATGCCATGCTTAATTATCTGACATATACATCTATGAATGTACACCATGACACATGTATAGTATGTTTTTGTTTATGAAGACCTGGTCCCATCCATTATCTGATTTTTTTATAATTATGCATATGATCTCATAGTAACACCACAAATTGTTTTTAGTATTGTATACTTTGTACAGTATAATAAACCTATATTTATTTTTACTTTTCAGTTGTCAAAAATGCTTCTCCTCCAAATTTTGGCTGTCTGACTTCTGGTTACATATAAGACCAGAGTCCTAGTTTTTCTGTCAAAGCCTCGCAATTTTTATGATCTATATGTACATGTACATAATATCAGCAAACAACATGGTAATAGTCTTCATGTCATATTAATAAGTCATTTTGATTCTGTAAAAAATAGCCTAAAGTAGAAGGTAGGACTTTAACCATAGTATTTTTTTTTTTTGAGAGAGAGAGAGAAGTTCTTGCTGCATAGCCCAAAATTCATGATCCTTTTGCCTCTGCCTCCTGAGTGCTGCAGTTACTGTGTGCTTGCAATACTGAATACCTTCCAAACGAAATAATACAAAGTACACTGTGGTTTTTTAATTAGGTAGGAAAATAGAAATTTTCTATTTGTAAATAACTGAAGGGTACAGTCTACAACAGATACAGAGTTGAGAGTTACTCAGAACATGGCTAATGCAGGGGCTAAGGAAGAGTGGAATTAACATTGGACTCTGTAGGATTAGAAAAGAGCAAGAGAAGTTCCTTCTTACTTCTGAGACAAAGGTAACATCTAAGGTTTTGAACTTAGAAAATCTCTCAGGCATCACAGGCCATTCCTAATAAACTAAAATTTCTTTCTAAGGGGAAAGGGTAAAAAGTCCTCCCATCTCCCCCCTGAAAAGTGGGAACACTGAAAATTCCCATAATTCTCACTTATTCCTTTCCAGTTCTCAGCATCCTTTCTTCTCTATTGCAGGTTCCCAGGCTGTGAGATGTCTCTAAGGCCAAGACCATGATCACAACAACTGACTTGACCCTGAGTTCCTCATATTCCACTGGGAATACCTTGGGACCTCCGGATGATGGCTACATTTTCTTAATTCTGACTCCTCTTCAACTGAAAGATGGGCAGCAGTTTATCAAGAAAAAAGAAACACTTCCACATTAAATGGAATCACTGAGTTTTAAATGCGTAGTTGCATTTAAAGTTGTGGGAGAAACTTGGAATTATCCTTTAAAATCAGGAATCCTTGTAAGTCCTCATTTCCCATGTTTGTTCACTCAGCCTTGTCAAAGAAATGACTAGCTCCTTCACCAAACTGTTCAAGAGCATTCAGAACAGATCCTGATCAAGGGCTGGGGATGTAGTTCAGTGGCAGAGCACTTGTCCAAGCGTGCATGAGGCCCTGGATTCCCTCCCCGGAACCACACACACAAAAAACTTTTAACTGAAAAGTAGAGCCTGTTTATTTAATGTCATAGATAAAAATTACCTCCTCCGTCTCAGAATTTGCATAAGACTCCATGGATCCCCCTTCCTGTCTCTGAGGAATGAGCAAACCCAGCCTGCCTCAGGATGCCCTACCACCTCGGATCTGCTGGGCAATTGTCCTTCAAGCCTTTATGCTTTCTCCTTCTTTCTCACTGGTTTCTGTCCCTTGACTAAGTCCACCGTGCGTGGCAATCCTTTAATTCAAACCAAGCTGCTTCCCTCCCAGGCTACCATTAGCTCACACAGCTTCCCGGCACTGCCTGCTGCTCTTGAAAGAGTCCTCTATGCTCCCACCTCGCTTCCTTGCCGCCCACTCACTCATTAATCCCTTGCAATCAGGCCTCCGCCCCTCTGCTCTCTCCTGGGTCGCTGTTGAGAGCACCTAACTGCCAAACTCAACAGTCTCTCTTCAGTCCTCCAACTCGCCCAGCTCCAGCAGCGTCTGACACCAGTGACTGCACGTCTGAGGCATTGGTTTATTTATCCCCTGTCGACTCCCAACAGGACGAAAGATGGCTTGATGCAATACATCAAGTAGAGTAGGAGAGCGTCAATTAGAAGTGTGTGGACCCAAAAGAGAAGGGGTACAAAAAGAAGCAAGATCAATGCCAAAATGCAAACCACAGGCAGTCATTTTCAATCATGGGCAATTTTGTCACCCCTGGGAAAGCTGGCAATGTCTGGGGATGTTTTAGGTTGTCACAACTGTGGAGTACTAGTAGGATCAGGTGGGTAGAAACTAGGGACACTGCTAAACATCTTACAATGCACAGGATGGCCTCCACAGCAAAGAATTATTCAGCTCAAAATGGTAAGGGTGCCCACTTGGGAAATTGTGCATGTGGCCCAGTGATTTATGTAGCTGTCATCTCTCTGACTTATTTAAATAGCAGATGTGATCAACAACTCTTCCTGGAGATACTCTTGTCTACTGTCATTCACTCTGGATATTGTTGGGAATCCCAACTCGCCCTGAGCCCTCCTTTTCCTTCTCTGGGTCTTTGGAGATTCCGCTGCATTAAATACCCTTCCTTAGAGGAGCCTCCCCACGTAAAGTCAGTTCCCCTATTCTATGTGTCAGGGTAGCCTCTGGTCTTGCTTCACAAAAAAGTCATAATTGACTAATCAATCGATGATTCATTGCGTGGTCACAGATTTGATGCCTAGACTGGAAACTCTGTGAAGATAGGAAAGGGACACATGTGTCTGGGGCTTTGCTGTTTCCTGAGGGAAACCATTGCTCCTGACACATTGTAGGTGCCCCAAAAGTACATCGAGTGAATGGAATTGAATAAAACTTAATGTCTCACATCACAGCCCCAGCAAAGCCAACAGCTCCAATTATCTGGTTCCCATTGGCTGTGGAGAATTTCCTTTAAAGAAACTGAGTAAGAATCAGATTTACCTTATTAGGGACAGTTTTACCAGTTAGTCAGTAAGGCGACATTCTGCATTCACCATGGAGAGCCCTGGTCTAGCCCAGGATTTCCTCCATTACCATCAAACTATCTGTGCTTTCCTACTGCTTCCTGCTTCAGAATGACCTTCAACACCAGTTTGCTTCAAAATAATTTTTCTCTAGAGCCTTTCCGATTTACAAGTTGGACGCAAATGTTAGCACATATGCCCTGGGGAAACTTTCAGACCCTGAGCAAAGCACTCTGGTTGCTGCTCAGTTAGCAGCTGTTAACACCAGCAACAACATTTTGTGTTTCTATGGCTTCTTCCCTCCAAAGGCTCCCAAAATCCTCCACACACCTATAATAATGAGGGACCTTCATGATCATCACCTCCCATCTGACTCCTAAGCGTTGCTCCAGGCAATTCTGCCAACCCTATCACATACACAGGCAGGGGATGGGTAGGCCTTGGTTCCCGTGAAATGGCTGGGCAGGTAGAGAAAGGATGTAACTACCCACATTAGCAAGATGCTTAGGTTCTAAACTTGTCCTATGTCCCAAAAATGAAGATCATGTCATTTTCTATACATGGAAATGATTGGAAGGTGGAGAGACCCAAAGGTCAAGAGTAGAAGAAGTCATCATCAAGTTCCAAAGATAAAATGCAAAACTCTAATTTTAAAACTCTAATTTCTTTCAAAGAGATAGTTTCTAGCATAATAGTCTTAGTAACAGCAGCAGTATTGGTAATAAACACAGGCATTAATTCAACACCTACTACGTGCAGGCCCTATAGGAAATGCTCTACAGACAGTATCTCATCTAATTCCCACACTATTTCCACTCAATGAGTCATTAAGAGATTCAGCCTAGTACAGCATGCTATCTGTCCTCCTTAAAATAGATACTTATGGAAACTGTAGGTTCTAGAAGACTTATAATGGGGTTCTTTTGCTCAAAGAGGAAACAAAACAAACTAGAATTCAACCTCTACCAGTAAAGCCCAGTGAGTATTTGAGTGACTTCTGTGAAAGTAGGCACCCTTCTTCCCCTTTCTGAAATGACAGCCCTGCAGAGCTGATGAACAGGCTGTATCTGGCTTTCTTCAGGGGAAGTTGGGATGGAAATGTCCAACACTGCTATATTTCAGTGGTAAGAGGAAATAGAAGAGCGGTGAAGATGGCATTCATGACATCAATGGTTGGGGAGACTCTAGGTAACAGGAAAGCCCAGGCTGACATGACTGCCTGTGAGAGTAGCTTTCTTGTGGAGAGGCAGGTGTACTCATTATAAGCCAAGCTCAGAGGATCCACACACTCACCTGGGAGCAGCCTGGAGCACTGCAGACAAATGGCCTCTCCTGCTCCAAATTCATCTTGGATTCCTCATAAATCTTTAGGGTCAGAGGGAGAGGGAGGAAGGAAAACAGAAATCCGTGAGTATTTTTTGCTTCTACCTGAGGCATATGAGAAAGATGACTGCTCAGAGCCCCCTTCCTCCACCAATTCCCAAACTGGACAAGGTAAACATGAATGTGAGTGAACACTGTACTGTGTGGATTGTGAATCACAAAACCACGTGGACTATACTTTCTTTAGCATTTAGGAGCACTTGAAAGGTAAATTTGACTACACTCAATATTTGTCTAAAGCTGAAGTTCATTGACTCCCCCACTCTGAGTTCCCACTGTGCTTCCTTGCATGCTTATTAAAGAGAATGCTATAAAGATGTCACAGCAGAAATCCTGACTGTAGGAAACTACCTGGTGGATGTTACTGCCAGGTTAAGACCCCACCTTCCCAGGAGGAATCTGAGGTAAATCTCACCCCATCCTTCCTCAGTTCTGCAGACAGCTTGAGGGCTGAGTACTAAGTACAGCTAGAGGGCACAGCCTCTGGGCTAATCAGTCCTCAGTATAAGGATCAACCTTGAATAAAATGTTCAAGGATACCCCATGGTCACCCCAGCAAGCTTCAGGATTACCAAGGGATATACAAGTAGCCCTGGAACCAGTTCACCAAACATACTGGTGGCGAACCATGGTCTTAAAGTCCATTAAATTTTCAGGTGTTCCATGAGGCCTCAACAAAAATCCTCCAAGTTGTACAGTGAAAACAGAAACAGCAAATGAAGAAAACATTTTCTTTGGATATTTTGTTAATTTGGTTTTATAAACTGATTTGAAATGAATATGAGATTAATGCAGCTATCTCTCTGATCTAGACAAATTATCTAGAACATGGTAGTTTTAAGGCAAATAAACCTATAGTCAAACACAGATTAAATTATACTGGAGTCTTTTCTTAGGTAAAAGTTCAATTCTAAGTGTGTTCATTAGGCAAATATGTGGTCAAAATTACTTTTGCAAGCCCTCCCAAACTCCAATAAAAGTATAAAACACATGGTTTTGTGATTAACATAAAAATCACAGGAAGTACTATACAAATTTAAGTTATATAACTTAGTTTCTAAATCATACCAATTTTTTTAGCAGTTTTAGAGGTGAATGTACATAATTTCATGGACCGTTAGTGGTGAGTGGCTCTATTCCTGAATTAAAACCTACTGTTTTGATTCTGAGCACAGGAAGCAATTCGCTTCTTTACAATGCTACTTGTAGGTGATTCCGTTGGCACCTTCCTCCTGAGAGAGGGAGCCCAGCTTGAAGTCATGGAAGAGTCCCCTTTACTGAAAGAAGCTTTCTCATCTTTCAGCCAAAACCAACTCTACTTCATATATCTTACACCTCTTTCTCCAAAGGCTAATGTAATTGACATGTATTTTGGGAAAATGCATACATAATTTCACTTTTCTGAAACAGAAAATAACAGATCTGTCTTAGATAGCATTGTCATTTAAATATTAAAAAACAAAATTAAAGAAACTTAAAAAGGTAGGACCTCTTCAAACCATGCTTCTTCATACAGTTTTCACTGTGCAATGCCCTTTTCACTCTTCATTTGGAACAATTTCCCATTGGTTTTCTATTAATACAGTGATTCACAATAATTGACAGCTTCCCTGGATTAAGCATTATTGTATGAATTCCCTTGCTATATTATACTTATTCTTTGCTTAGTATATGGAGTTAATTTTTCTCCTTTTTACTACTTTTCTTTTTTTAGTTGCCATTATAATTGCACATATTATAGGGTATAGGGTAAAAGTCAATAACATATATGTAATAGGTAATGATCAAATCCGGGTAATTCACATTTCCATCCCCTTAAGCATTAATCAGGTCAAGTATTTGGACCCTTCAAACTCCTCTTCCCTAATTGGTCATCACTTATATATTAGGTTCTTATAAACTAGAGCCACCCTACTATATTTTGTTTAGAAGAAGAAGAAACCCCACAAATATCTGTGGAAACTTTCTGCTTGCCCTTGTCTAAGGACAAGTTGTGAGCAACTAAAATAACTTCTCGTATCTCATTGCTGCTAGAGCTTCCCTTCTCCCCACTCTGAATGCTGACAACTTGCTTCTAAGTTTCAAAATAGTGACTTTAAAGCAGAGAAAATGATTTTTCCTAAGTAGAATAAACACAGAGTAACAAGGTTATCCATTAATTAACTATGCCAGGTTTTTCTAGTAAAATGCTTTTCTGGAAATTCTGTCTCTGAAGGCCTGGTCTACTTGGCCACTGCCAGGATATTTAACTGATTCATGCCACAATGTCCCCTCTTTTACAACAGGGGTATCAATATCCATTTTTAGCTCTCTTATTCCTGAGTCTTATTGCTCATTTGGGAGTCTGTAAGACATTCGCAAATTATAGAGAAAGGGCTGTGTGTCTAGATATGTGTATTTGGAGGTAGAAGTTTGTGGATAAATGCTAACAGAACTTCACTCTAATATGAACTATTCCTTATGTGTCAAATTGCATGTTTTAATTTATTCCCCTATTTGCCTAGGTGAATCTTTCTTGGATGCCACTTGAGAGCTTTATTTGCTAATATAATGAAAGAGTGACACTTTTACCAATAAACATCAAGATTACATGGCAGTGAAAGTTCTATATATAACATTTATGGCCTACATCAAAAAGTAATAATGAGTGATAATAATTAAATTAATGTCCAAGCAACAAAACTGGTCAGGCTGGAAGTGCCACTGCTAAAAGTTTAAGGAATCCATTAATAAACCAAAGTGAGGAAAGAGATTGACCAACTTGAGGCTCAAAAAGTAATTATACTGTAACCCCAAATCCACCCCAAATCTTGACCTGCCAAAACTTCAGGCCCATGATACTAACAGTTTACCAATTCTATTTGACATCAACGTTGGGTACCTTATCTTAACTATTGGGTAAAATTTATGTATGAGCCACCACAAATACTTTGGAGTTGTATTGATACTAGAGCTTAGACATGTGAATCTCCACCATACAGATATATTCTGTTTTACTGCGCCTTCATGGTGTGGATACTATATTTAGAGGAATACGATCAAGGTAATTTCTATCCACTAAAATGTGTCAGTAAAAGAATTATGCCTCAGGAGATGTAATTTGAGAAATACAGTCTATCCTTAAGCCATTCAGAGTTTAATCATCAGAAGATTCTACTGGGTTATTATTGTCATTTTATTGGTTTATTGTTTTAGATATAAATCAATCAAAATCAATTTTTTACCTGATCTGCAATAAATATAGGCCAAACATGTTTGGCAACATAATACTGGAATAAAAATCTCAAGGTTAAAAAATGGCAGTTGCTAATATAAAATAAGATTTAAGTGATTAATAAGGTCTAGAGTGAGTGGGTGTGCATATATGTGTGTGAACCTCAACTGCTTTATTTTGATGCTCTGAGGTTCCCACATTTCGCCACTGCAAACAGCACTCCCTTGCTAATTCCTTTCTGTGTAGGTGTTTGCAATTCGTTTACAAAATGGTACCACTCTACCACGTAGGCCTCATTACTTTTATCAACCAGTATGATCTGGTCTGATATGTTAGTCAAGACCCATGGTTTATTTTTATGGTCTGTTATTATGGTTCCTTTCTAGCACATATTGTAATAATTATTCTCTCAGACTCCTTCTAAAGGGCTGAATGGATTCTTTTATCATCCATCAAGTGGGGCAAATTGCTCAAAGTTTTAACCAGGCTGTTCCAAATTCAGTCCTCAGAAGTCAGGCTCATCTTCTCATTTCCCAGTCAGTTGTTTTACTGGCTGTGATTTTTTTTTTTAATAAACCAAGTTGGGCTTGGCAATCACCATACCAGACTCCACTGCATAGACCTTGCATAATAGGCGTTCAATAAGTATCTGTGGAATGGATAATGAATCCTGACTCATCACAATAAACCACCACAAACAGCCTGCCTGTTCTCAACTCCACAGGCATGATTCTTGAACTTTTCTGCTGAGAATCAAGGTTTCAAAGTCAAAAGATTGTATGAAACACTCCCTCTACCTGATCCCAAGAGTTCTCCCCAGACTTCATGAAAAAAAAAAAAAATCAAAGCTGCTTTTGGTGAAAACAATGGAGGTATCTAACTTGCATTAAATTTCATATGAAAATGTATTAATTCATTGTAAATTCAAATTGAACCTATTAATACTGACATTGAAAACATAAAAGCTGTCTGCTTGCCATGTGCAGGCATATATGACCCCCATAGAGCACCCTTTGAAAAACACAGAGTGATGCCAGTATCTTTGGTTAAAAAAGGCCATAATTATGGCAAATGCTCTCATCACTTAATAGTTTTTAAATAGTACTATTTTTTGTTTCTCTTTCCCAAAATTCAGATCCAATGCTCAACTAAAAGAATGGATCGTGAACCTAATTTCCCCTCAAATTTTTGGAAAACAGCAAAAATCCTAATAACCAACCCTATTAATGCACGAAGTGAGCTGAGGTTTTTACAGCTGACAAGGAGATGACAGGCTTGAATTACAATTCAAACTCTCAACTGCCACTGGATTCTTCTGGCTGCAAAGTGAGCAAGAATCTCTCTCTTTGTGCAGGACTTGACCCCTCAGATTCCTGGTCTAAAATGGGAAATTCGTCCACAATGGCTGATGCAATCAATCCATTCAAAGGCTTTGCCAGTCATTTAGGGATATACTGAGAATTACCATTTCAGGAAAGGCAAACACTGCAAAAAACAAATGTTACTAAAAACCTAGGTTGTCTACACAAAATATACCATGTATTTTAAACTTAAGTGTAATAACTCAGTCCAGAGGGAGAAAAATCAACATCGTCTTGCCAGCCAAGAGTGATACTTCTCCCATCCAAGTCATAGGCATCCACATGGATCCTCAACCAACGTCCACCTCCACCTCCAATTTTACTAGAATGGCACAAATTTCCCCCAGTGGTAATGGATAGATTCATACAATGATATGGAGTTTGGAATAGTAAGGCACTAAAAGGAT